TGAGCCGTGGTATCGCGTCCGAGTTCCAACGCAGATTTGGCGGTTTGGAACATCTTGAAGACCAAGTACAGAAGGGAAAAAGACTGTTGTGCTTGCCTGACGGACGACGCAATATCTATTACCTGGTAACTAAAGGAAGATGCTCTGATAACCCAACTTATGGAGACCTTTGGGACGCAGTAATGGAACTCCGCGGACATCTTCTAGAGAATAACTTACAGAAGCTGGCGATTCCGAAGCTTGGTTGTGGACTGAACAACCTAGATTGGAGGATCGTACGAAACATTTTCTTTTGCAGTAATAACCCGAATAGGACCAATCATGATCCTGCGAAACGGAAAGTGAAAATGTTACGGGACGAAACATCCTTAAGGAGGGGGCAGCGCAGCGAGCAAGAGCATGTTTGTGTGCGATCGGGCATACGTGTGTGTGAGCGTCTTATCGACTCGCCGATTAGCCGCGGGCGCCTTTCTTCATATGCCCCGTATCTGTAAACGTGTGTGTCGTACCTGCGTTCCGGGAAAGCAATTAAACAGTTCAAAGAAAACGAAACTTTTCCGGACTGCTCGAGAAAGTTCCAGAAAGGACACAAAAGAGTGTATAAAGGAAGAGACGATCGCCGAGAGAGTAGTAGAAATAAATTGACTGTTGCAGAAGTGAATCTAGAAATAAATTGACAGCACAGTGAATAGTGATGTATCAACAGTACTGTAAATAAATAGAGTAATTCATCACCTAAGTTAGTAATCATTTAATAGTGTTTTTAAGTTCTTTAATAATAATTAGTGTAAATAAATAGTTTTTATCGTTGTGAATCATAAAAGTTAATTTGTAAAACCCACGAACATTACACTATTAATTTACACTAATTATTAAAGAACTTAAAAACACTATTAAATTATTACTAAACTTAGGTTATGAATTATTCTATTTGTTTACACTACTTTTGATATCACTATTCACTGCGCTATTTGTTTCACTGCTATCACTGGTCAGTTTATTTCTGGATTCACTTCTGCAACTATCAATTTATTTCTACTTTTCTCGACAATCGTCTCTTCCTTTAAATACTCTTTTGTTTCCTTTGTGGAACCCTCTAGAATTATCCGGATCGTTTTGTTTTTCTTTGAACTGTTTTCCCAGAACGCAGGTACGACACACACATTTACAAATACGGCGCACATGAAGAAAAGCGCCCGCGGCTAGTCGGCGAATCGATAAGCCATACACGCATTCAAAACACTTGTGCTCGCTACATTAGCATATGAAGAGCACACGGGAAAAACGATCTAAGTCCAAAATATCGAAAATCAGGATTATTACACCAAATTAAAAATTAAAAGGAATACTCACCCCTAATTACCACAAGTACTCCTTTTAATTTTTAATTAATATTTACCACAGTCTCCTCCTTCTATTTTTACTACACCAAATGGTAATTAAGCATGGGAATTTCATTTCCTCTACAGTAAATCATTGAAAAACCGATCGAAGTAAATAGGAAAATAGGCGTACAATGAAATAGCGATAACCGATCCAAGTCTGACTGCCAATCCAAGTCGATCTATTTCTTTTAATTCTTTGTCAATTTTTAGTCCAATTCTAATCGTGTTCAAGCGTGCAGTGCATATTTGGTCGGGCGTTGTTAAGGTCGGAAGTAAGAATATTATTAACATGTCTAGTAGTGATAGCGACTCTATGCCATTGTCACACGTCCTTGGTAAACAAAGAGAAAATCTTGTGGTCGTTAGACATGTTAACAAACATGTCCGAAACCATACGTTTGAGACAGAGAATCCGTGTAACTGTAAAAGCCGTTGTTTTCAAAATTTGAGCAATGTCGAAAAAAATAATATTGTAAGAAAGTTCAACTTTTTACCAGAAATTCACAGAACAGGCATTTAGCTGGGTTAATAATATGCTACCAATTAGAAGACGTAGACCACGGAAAAGTGAAGATACTGCAAATTTGAGATGCAATGCATTTCGATATAAAATAAGAGTTCAAAATGAGAAGAAGGATGGATTCCATGAAATGGCAGTGTGTCAGCAGGCTTTTATCAGTCTACATGGAATAACAAACAGGAGACTTATAACAATAAAAAGTGGACTTAAAAGGCATGGCAGCTCAGTTGACGATATGAGAGGTAAGTTTCCATTACAGAAGCTGAAATATTAGATCTGTGTAAGTTACAAATCGTAGGTAGACATCATAATCGACCACATAAGATGAGTCAAGCAATAGTGTAACTTGTTCAGGAACATATCAGATCATTTAAAAGTCGTGTATCCCATTATAGTTTTAAAAAGTCAAGAAAACTGTATCTTCCCGATACTTTAAATATTAATTTTTTTTATGAAAAACATCCGGGTCAGAAAATGAGTTACGAGTCTTACAGACTAATTTTCACGACAAATTTAACATTGGATGTGGGTATCCCAGATCAGATACCTGCAGTTACTGCGACGAAGTTAAAGTCAAAAAGTCTTCCTTGGAGACTCAACTAAAAAACATAGGGTGCTGATAATCAAGAAAAGAAGTTAGATATAGAAAAATAGTTGAGGACTACTGAAAGTCAACACAAATTACACATTCGCAAAGCGTAAACCTATTACAAAGGAAAACGTAATGCTAAGAATAACACCCGAAAACAAGTAACCTTTGATGCTATAACAATGGATTATTCAAAGAATTTACCAACAATTGACGTTCGTAAGTTTTAATATTCACATCCTTTCATATGGGCAGTCGGTTTTTTATACATACCTGCAAACTGTTGCTAAAAAAGGGTCAGATAATGTTGTCTCTTTTATATCATTTTTGCTTTAATTTTCTTGACGCAGGAGTACGACATCTTGAAATCTTCTGTAATTCTTGCGGTGGGCAGAATAAAAATTATACCCTCTTAAGATTTTTGCATTTTCTCGTACATAAAGATAGGCGCTTTGACTGTGTGTTTATTACATTTCCTATAAGAGGTCATTCCTACCCTGAATGTGACAAAGACTTTGGTCTAATTAACCAGAAATGTAAAGTTGACGTTCCATCGCAATGGGTGGAAATTTTTTAAAAGATGCAGATCACGACCATTTGACGTTGTATAATGTAAGCATGTTTTTTGCCTAGACAGACTTTCGGGCACCAATCTATAAGAAGAAGTGTCTATTTTCCACAAGACCACTTAGAGAAAGTTTAATACGCCATGAACATCCAAGAACAATAGAGGCAAGAGAAAATTATAATGGACCGCGACAAAGCTACGTTGTTGCGGAACCAAATTTGACATGGAAGGGAGCCCCAAAATTGCTGTATAAACAATCTATTCCAATACCAAAGAAAAAATACCTACAGTTACAGGAGCTAAAGAAATTCGTTGCTGAAGAACTTCAAAATTACTACTTGGTGTTGCCGATCATAGATAACAATAGGAGTGATGACGAATTTGATGTAAGTTTACTGATCATTTTTTGACAAAAACAAAACTATGTTTTTCTTCTTTGCAGGAACTATAAAGAAACAACACTTTTCAGAAAAGGAAACCTCTTGATCACATATTAACAATAAACTGTCATTTTGATAGTTTGAACCATTTGGGATCCGGCAAATGGGAGGAGCCTAAAAACATGGCGCCGATTAGGGAAAATTTATCGTAGTTCCTATAGTGTACCGTGCAATTTCCAAGTTTTTACATTACGATAAAATGATAAGTATTGACACAATATGTGATTGGGCTGACACAAAGCCTAGGAAAGGAAATTTCGTTGAAGGTGAGCGTGTTTTTAATGCCAATCACATTATAAAATTCGGAAATNTACCTCACTGCTTTATTTTCACTGTACTGCTGTCTATCCACGTAGTCTCCTCTATGTAACACGACATTACGATGTACCTCGTCCAAAACCTCCACATGTTCAACAACGTTCCAATATTGTACGTCTTCTACACCACCACACACTTCATGGGTACAGTTGCCGCTACTTACATCCATCCTCGCACTTCAATTTTCACACTTCTACCTTTTATGTGCAACACTCCTGTGGTTGTCTTTCATTTATACTCCTTTCTACACAACCACATCTCCTTCCTCCTCCTAAACGTATCCCTTCTTCTTTCTCTCTCTCCACCAAATAAATTCTTTTCAAAATCCGCATTCTTACTAGTATAAATTCAACAATACATGTATTAATGCTTAACCTCACTGACATCGTCAAGAACCAATAACATCATGTGACCAGTAACAGTAACCGTTTAACAGTAACATACCGACCTCATTAAGAGGCGTTCTAAACATTCTGCAGAGCAAAAGCCCAGAAAGAAAGCGAAATTGGACCGTTTGGACATTCTTGAGGACAGGATGGAGACGATGTTTGCTACGATGTGTGCTTGGATGGATGCCATGGCAGGTGCAGCTTCTTCAGGAGAAGGATCCTCAGCTGGTGCTGAAGATGTGTCTTTTGATCATGAATCAGACGTTGAGAGCTCCCACTTTGGCGGAAGCCTTAAAAAATTTGACAGCTAAGCATCCTGCAATGGCAGATGACATTAAAGTAGTGTTAAATGATTGTAACTCTACCTTTCAGTCTTATTTGGACGACCTATTGCAATTTGTGTGTGCACATAGGGCTCAGGCTATTGATTATAGGCGCCAAACCTTTAAAACAAAGTCTGACTTTCAGACGTCAAAATTAGCTCAAATTCGCCCTTCGGCCACTCAACTTTTTAATGACGATAAATTAGTTCTTTAGGGAACAAGGGGGATTCTTTCGGGTTTTCCCTTCGCGTTCGGGTAGAACCGGCTCCAAATCATTTTCTTCTCGGCGAGAAACCCGCTCAAGTCAGAGTAAACAGCCTTCTAAATCCAAGTCCTCGAAGCCTACAAGCTCATCTTGGAGAGTACGTTATGTTCCGCCTCCTTTGTCGACTTCCTCTTCTTCTAAGAATCGTCGTGAAAGTCGGAGCAGCCGTTCAAGGAAGAGTGATAAGTTACCTCGTCGGGGCCATGAGCGGAGTTTTTGACTCTCCCTTTGTGGCAGATCAGTTGAAGGAGTTCCTGGGACGTTGGCAGGAATTAAGAGCACCGCCGATCGTCTTAAAAGCCATAACAGGATACTCGATTCCGTTTGTAATGAAGCCTCCTTCAATTCCGTTCACTGCCGATCTCGTAAAGAAATTCTCAACAAAGATCTCAAAAGCAATGTCAGAGGAAATCGAAAGTTTAATCCAACAGCAGGTGGTAGAAAGCCCCGAAGCGCGTTCGGGGTTCTTGTCCCAGCTGTTTTTGATTCCAAAACAGGATGGGAAGGTAAGGCAAATTTTCAATCTTCGTCAACTCAACAGTTTCCTA